AACACGTCTTTGAAGCCCCTAGATGGGGTATTTTTTTTAAAGAAAATTATATGTAAACTTTCAATACTATTTTTCAAATCATTATATGTTAAAATATCAATGCTAAAGTAGAAACATTTACTGTTACTACTAAAGAACTGCACCATAATTTTTTTAATCAGTATTTAAAAATCAATAAGAAATTAAGTATTTAAGTTCTACAAAACACACTAATAAAAATGTTTTGAGTGGTGTGTCTTCAGGTTGTAGCCCCTTTCAAAGCATCATGATTACTAATGTTAGCCCTACAGAGTATTCCAACGATTCTTCTATCTTCTTCCTCTTCGCATTTCTATAAACTCCGGTGGAAAAGTTGTGGGTGTTCATCCATATCTAGTCTGCATTCTTCTATAAAATCTGATCAGTGAAGCTTCCAGAAAATTTCTGGTTGTCTTCTATTTGTCAAGCAACACAGCCTTTTGTTGAAACTAGTATGCAGAATGCAAAAAAAAAATTGATGAAAACAATAGTGGTTTATTGCGTGCCTGTTCAACATTATTTTAACTCTGCAAGTGGACAAGATTCATTTCTTTGTTATTACCATTGCTTCTGTCTTTCCAATTTTGTTTTCGCTTTTACGGCCAATGTGCCTGTTTTTTTTTGTAAGTGATTCTGACTTGTTGCTATCAAGGTTGCTATCTACTACCTGATGATAACAGAACACAAAGGTAGCAGGCATCATTTTAACATCTCTTATAGTTTCCTATACATTCCTAAACAGCTGTTGATTCTTATAAATGCCCTTTTCTTGTCAATACTTTCATCAGCAATCACCAATCTGTGCCATCAATGGCTAGTATATCTTTGACCACTTTACGATAGGAGATGTTGAAATGATGCCTGTTAATTCAGTGTTCTGTTTTTATCAGGTAGTAGATTTCCTAGGAGTGCTGAATGGTTAAGAACGTTAGACTTTCATGCAGGGAACCCAGACTCATGTCCTTAGTAGGATCATGGATTCTGTTCTGTGGGAGGACAATGAAATTCTAACCTGCACGAGTTTGGCAGCTCTAAATCCTCGTTCTCAATTACTTCCCCCTCCTCCACTAAAAAAAAAATGGTAATTTCAGGAAGATTTAATGCCAGTTCTGGCAGTAGATCTCCTGGAAATGGCTGAAGACATCACTGTTCCCCCTGTTACCAGAGTCCATTTGTTACTTGCCTTCCCTGCCTCCTGTAGTTTCTTGCCCATGGTGTTGATGACCTGTGCCCAGTTTTGGGCTTGACGTCCTTGCTCTGCTTCCATCTGCCTTGCCCTCTAGTATTCTTCTTTCTGAATCAATGTGGCATTTAACGGGGCATACAATAGTTTGGTTTCTTATACAAGTTCTGGTTCAGGCATATAGAACCTCCCCCACCCCCTAAAATGTTAAGAACTCTCCAAATTAACCATTAAACACAAAATATAACTTGTAACGAGACAAGGAATGGGGAGGGAGAATTACCAACAATAATTAAAAAAAAAAACATCAAATGGTCAAAATTTATATTGGCAGAAACAATGAAAGGTCCATAAATAAGTAATGATTTTGAATAACATAAAACATCCATATAAATAATACACTGCACCAAAAGTTATATAATGATCATCATGAAGGTTATTTGCATCACTGTTTCACAGAAAAGATTCTTTATACCCCACCTCAAATACTGTCCTGCACAAGGTGTCTTCAAGTCTCCGTCCATAGGGAGAAAAAGAAGAATAAGAATAGGAAAAAGGATGAAGAAGAATGAATGAAGTATATGTCAAAGGGTAATAAAAGAGGTGCATAGGCTTGTCTTATACTGAGCCCTTTCAATTGTCTTATATTGAGCCCTTTCAAACACTCATCTTTTTCCCTACCTACACAGCAACTGCATTATATATATATATATATATATATATATATATATAATACAGCAGTATACATAATATGAATATAAAGTAGAGAACAGAAAAGCAATGATGGCAAATGCATGTTGTAGTGAACCATTTCTCCTCAATAAATTGTGTCCCAGATAGAATGACGTCAGCTAATAAATATGAATGAGATATTTACATGCAAGAAGGGCAGAGTCGTGAATCACAGAGAAAATGCTGGCCAAATGAAACCCGTGCGAATCATAGAGAAAATGTTGGCCAAATGTAACCCGTGTGAATCTGAGAACACGAAAAAGTTGTAACTGTAATGTGGCGGTTAGAAGGTTATATAATGCCTTAAAAAGACCATGTGGGCAGTCACGTTTGGGCCAAGAAACAGAGTGCATGAAGAACGGAGGAGTGTTTGTGGATCCAGAATGTGTCTGAGTCTAAATGTTGCTTCAAACGCCCTTGTTGGCCAAACAGCAAAGGATTGACGGGAAACTTTATCAGCCGGCTGATTTTGTGTTTGCTTCAGTGTGTGAATGGGCGGATGTGTTTCGATAAGTGCAGGTAATGTTGACATTAGTTTGTAAATCTTAGGTGTCAGGCCCTAGACCTGACCTATTTCATGTACCGGCCAAGAAAACAGCGAGTGGAAGAATAAAGAACGAAACCGTCTTGCGCTGTTTGCTGTCGTCCATTTCTACTCCTCGTGCTCATGTCGGGGTGTGAAAGAGGAGTCTGCAGTGACTGGAGCCAAAAACAATAAGAACAGAGTCATTGCACATGTAGACATACACACACACACACACACACATACAAGAAGAAAAGGAGGAAGAAAAAGAAGAAGCAGCAGAAGTAGAAAGAAGTATAGTCAGTTGAATACTACACTGTCCCTCTTGTCTCATTTAATCTGAGAACAAACAAAGACTATTTAAACAAAGAAGACACATAAAATAGATTGCACAATTTACTGCCTGGCATATTTTACTTTATCTTGTGAGGTGCATACTATGGTAGCAATTGATTCAAATGAAGCAAAAAAATTAATTCTCCAAACTGAAACACAAAGCAACTACATTCACAGTATGACCAGGTAAACTCAAGGTAAAGAGCATGTTCTTTTTTCTGAACATTCTGGACTTATCATCATCATCATCATCATGTGCCAAATTGATTTTCACATTAGGTAAAAGCAGCAAAATAGATTTGCTCATGAGTGAACATTTATTTGGCATGGTTAGTCACTGAATGCTAATAAAGTTACTACATAAGAGACTGAGAACTTACAAAAATCCCCACTGGGTTAACAGAACTGAAGTCAACCAGGAAATGAATTCAAACCATGCTGGTAATTCAGCCTATTTCAAAAATACTCATTTTTTGCAACTTCTTTAAGACTGGCAGCAAGATAACAAGCAGATAATGGAGGGGACACAACTACAGATAACAGGCAGATCATGAAGGGGACACAACTACAGATAACAGGTAGATTATGGAGGGGACACAACTACAGATAACAGGTAGATCATGGAGGGGACACAACTACAGATAACAGGTAGATCATGGGGGACACAACTACAGATAACAGGTAGATCATGGAGGGGACACAACTACAGATAACAGGTATATCATGGAGGGGACACAACTACAGATAACAGGTAGATTATGGAGGGAACACAACTACAGATAACAGGTAGATAATGGAGGGGACACAGCTACAGAAAACAGGTAGATCATAAGGGACACAACTACAGATAACAGGTAGATCATGAAGGGGACACAACTACAGATAAAAGACAGATCATGGAGGGGACACAACTACAGATAACAGGTATATCATGGAGGGGACACAACTACAGATAACAGGTAGATTATGGAGGGGACACAACTACAGATAACAGGTAGATCATGGAGGGGACACAACTACAGATAATAGGTAGATTATGGAGGGGACACAACTACAGATAACAGGTAGATCATGGAGGGGACACAACTACAGATAACAGGTAGATCAGGGAGGAGACACAACTACAGATAACAGGTAGATCATGGAGGGGACACAACTACAGATAACAGACAAAGCATGGAGGGGACACAACTACAGATAACAGGTAGATTATGGAGGGGACAAAACTACAGATAACAGGTAGATTATGGAGGGGACACAACTACAGATAACAGGCAGGTCATGGAGGGGACACAACTACAGATAAAAGGCAGATCATGGAGGGGACACAACTACAGATAACAGGTATATCATGAAGGGGACACAACTACAGATAACAGGTAGATCATGGGGGACAAAACTACAGATAACAGGTAGATTATGGAGTGGACACAACTACAGATAACAGGTAGATTATGGAGGGGACACAACTACAGATGACAGGTAGATTATGGAGGGGACACAACAACAGATAAAAGACAGATCATGGAGGGGACACAACTACAGATAACAGGTATATCATGGAGGGGACACAACTACAGATAACAGGTAGATTATGGAGGGGACACAACTACAGATAACAGGTAGATTATGGAGGGGACACAACTACAGATAACAGGTAGATTATGGAGGGGACACAACTACAGATAACAGGTAGATTATGGAGGGGACACAACTACAGATAACAGGTAGATTATGGAGGGGACACAACTACAGATAACAGGTAGATTATGAAGGGGACACAACTACAGATAATAGGTAGATCATGGAGGGGACACAACTACAGATAACAGGTAGATTATGGAGGGGACACAACTACAGATAACAGGTTGATCATGGGGGACACAACTACAGATAACAGGCAGATCATGGAGGGGACACAACTACAGATAACAGGCAGATCATGGAGGGGACACAACTACAGACATCAAAGAAAAAATAAACTCGCCCTGAGTGAAAACTCTCACCAAACTAAATATTAATTCTTGACTGAGCACCTGACATGACGTGTGCTAGTCTTTTTCACTGGTAGACATCACCTACTGTACTTAAATATTGACTACTTTGTACTGTCTTCTGGATCTAATGGATAGCAACAAATGAGTTCAAAACACTGACTGCTGACGGATCCTTGCAAGTGACACATCTGTGGGTGCACTCTGCCACTATTCAACGACCTATTAATGCAATTTGATCCTGCACCTCATCCAAAGAGTTTAGACTGAAATAAGAAGCAGGTGAACAATGTATAAACATCTTTTATGAACGAGCAGCTTATGTGTATCATATGAATAATCATACTGACTTTCAAAATAAACATAATATTTCAAGAACTGAAAACGTTCATTCAGGAAAAAAAGCTACTTTCTTTTTTAACGTTTTATGTGTTTATGACACTTACATCCATAAAAATCTACCTGCTATCTCAGTGGGTATGCTGTCCTAAGTCCTGTGATTTTGATAATCACTGGACCAATACATTGCTCCCCCCCCCCCCCCCCCCCCTCGGAATATACAGCAATTGCCACAAATTATTTGCTTTTCACGAGCCAATCAAAATAAGCATTACAGCAGTACATGACATATCCACTTCACTATTCAAAATAAATGTGCCCTGATTTTTCACATAGATTACCTCTAAAATGAGTGCAATTTGATGTTTTGCCAATTTTGAGTCAATCCATTTACTGTAAATATGCTAACTGTATGCTTCGTATCAGTGTCCGTCTGTTTTTTCCATTGACTTCAAATAAAGCACACACAAAACTAGAAGTATATTTACATTATAATTGTGTTGCTACAAGGACATTATTAACAGGTTGCATGCAAACTTTCAGTAATTTACACAGAACAGTTACTGAGATACAAATTTGTACACCTGTGCATGACTTCTGGAAAAGACTATAGCAAAGTAAGATGTCCATCTAAAGTTTGCATTTGGACAGATACAAGACTATACAGAATTTAAACTTCGACTGAAATTTTTATTCTTCAGGGAATTTTATTTACATCAGCTGGATCACAAACTGTACTTTTCACAGATGGAATTAATTTATACTGAATTTTTCCTTCACAAAAGCATCCAATTTCAGAAAAGGTGAGAGTGACAAAAAAAGTTACATCTTTTACTAACATTTTAAGGACAACAGCTTGTCGTTGGTATAGGTGGTGGGGAGTGGAGAGGAAAGGAATTCCCACCAGAGAATTTCTCTAGCGCACCTAAATTACCCATCTGAGGGGTTAATTAGTTATTAAGCGTATTATCTATACCCGTATTAGGTGACCCTGGGTCAACACAGCCTGAAATGGGTACCAGTTAAAAGTCTCGAGATGTGAAGGAGGCTGGCGTGATATTGATCACATCACTCATTGAGGGCCAACTGGTCTACACAAATCTTGAGACTAGCATCACATGTCCCAAATGCAACTGCTGTAAAAAAGGCACACCACTTTGCTCTCATAGGTTTCAGCAATGTTGAGATTATATAGGCTAAGATGATTGTCAGAGGGTAATTTCTGTAACCATATCCACAGATGATACTATCAATTATTTATATCTTTGCTCCTCTAAATTATGAGAAGGGTTGCAGGAATCAGCAGAAAAGACAAAACCAGGAATGAGGCCATAAAAGAACAAGTTGGCACTGAATCTATTCTGTTAAATATACAGACAGCAGAACAAACAGTCTGTCCTGTTAGAGAGAATGCCTCATGAAGCTGTACCATACAAGGCATAATGAAAAGAGGAGGAGGACACAGAGTGCAAGAACAAGATAGAAAGATAAAAATCAATAAAAATCAGAGAAACTACAACAGCATGATATGTCTGTGGTCAAAGTGGCTAGAAGAGCAGGAGGCAGAACCTTGTATCTGCTTCAACACCCAAAGAGTTAAAAGAAGGAAGTGAAGAAGAAGAAAAGATCCTCCTAAATTCGAATGAAGAGAAATTAATAGCAATTTTTTTTTTAAAATGCATTGCACATATTCTTAATTGCTGAAGGATAGCCAGAGAAACTGAGGCAACCAGACAAGAAAAGAATTAGGCAGTTATAGAAGCATCAAATTATGTAAGTCACTCTATGTCAACACTGAATCAGTAACTGTAGAGTAAAAACATACCTTCTGGCTATTGCTGACTGTCTGAAAATGGACAAAACAATTGTCAATATAAACTGATTACAAATGTCCAGTGACTGTTCTGTTACAGATATACAGTACAATGCTGGTCTCATCCTCATCACGTAGCAGGTCATTGACAGAACACCATACTCATCCCAGTCTGGCTGAAACAAACTCAGTCCCTCATCAGCTCTGTCACTAATTTCTGTGCTCATCCCCACACTGGTCAGCTGCTGTATCTCTGTCCTGGTACCACACCTTCCGCTACTTTTCTTTTCAATCCTCACTTTCTGAGGCAAGATGCTGTTTATCAGCCAAACTGCCTAGATGTTCAGATCTGTAAACTTTTTTTTTTTTTGGTCCACAGTATTCTAAGAATCTTTCCATAGCAAGTCACCTCAAAAGCTTGTGCTCGTCTGTATACTGTTAAAACTAAAACAAGTCAATACAAGGTCTGTTAAAAGAAGAACTATTCAACCTGTTGCTGGGAACAAGGTAGGTGTTCATTTGGGCTCTACAACTATTCTCCTTTAGACTTCACACTTCTCCCAGTGGTTCTCAAATTATTGGAAGCATTTCAGAAATCACACCTGAAATCATTTAATAGAGCTCAGGCATCTTGGTCCACAATATGTATTCTCAGGAATAAATTTATGTCTCTTTCAGCGACATTTTTTTACATCAGGAAACAGTAAAAAACCGCAAGCACCCGTGACAGGAGAGTATTACACCTGAGGAACCCAAAAAATGCTGCATCTTGCCATGAAAATCATAAGAACAAATGTTGACATGAAAAATGGTTGGGTGTGTTATCATGATGGAGCTGGCAAGTTCCTGCTGCCTACAGTTCTAGTCAGTTACCATGCACAGCATCAGGAAACTGACAGATGAGATGGGGACAGTACTTTCCAGCAATGTGCAGGTCTTGCAGTGGTCATCATAAAAATGATCAACTCGACTGAGTCACTGTTTTAATTTTCTTTATCCCTAGGGACAATGAGTTGTTGAGTCTCATTTCATCATATCCTCACTGGAGAGGCCCATTGTCCCATTTTCAGGGGAAAAGTAGAAATTACCCCCCCCCCCCCCCCCCCCCCCCCCCCCCAATCAAGTTGTAAAAGGTGACTAACAAGGTGTTAGCTGAAATCGGATGTGATGAGGTGAAGGGCAGATATCACAACTTAGCTGTTAACTACAACATAATGTGCTAACTGCCCTTTTATTGGTGAACACAGAAGATGAAGATGAAAAACACATCATCTCTGTCCTGCATATTTGGAGAATTTTAGAAACAATCAGAAACATTCACTGAAGTAGCTTTTCTCTTCCAGTGAAATACAGAACTTGATTTTAGATTGTTTTGAGGTTTTACACCAGGAAAAGGTACATTTGCACATTTCTATGAGAAAAGCAGTCTTTTGGTGACTTAATAAAGTCTATCGGAGCCTATACAAGAATTAAACCAGGTGGATTTCAAATAGACTGTGTCATCAAGACCAATAAAGAAGCTAAAAAAATGTACACATATATGATTCAATGGGACAGAAAGAAGTCTAAATAAAGAAGATTGATCCCATATCTGGTGTCTAAGCCTCATCAGCTGGAGATGTTGGCCTCACTTTCATGTGGGGGAACCTATTCCAACATATCTTTTTTTAAAACCATATACTGGTACAATATCTCAATTGTTCTGCATTTGTCCTTTGAAGGATGGCTGGTATGTTATGTGGTTTGCAACTGGCTACAATATCAGCACTTTTCAGTCTAAAAGAAACAACTTTAACTCTTTGAGTCCCAAGGAACGCGTCATAAGTTCATAGATTCCTACCTAGAAGCCCAATGAATGCAAGATGCGGCGATTTTACATCTTTTTTTACTATCACTGGGGCCTGCGATGCTAAACCCCCTGGGTCTCAAAGAGTTAACAAACCCTTAATTTGTCCCTTTTTATTACATGTTTGTTAAAGGGCGATCCCCCCCCCCCCCCCCCCCCCCCCCCCCCCCCCCCCCCCCCCCCCCCCCCCCCCTCTCCCTTTCCCCAATCCCCACAGAACAAACATAGGCAAAAACACTCACTGAAACTCAAGCTGTGAGCGAATCAAATCCATCTTTCTCATTGTCTGAAATAACATGTATTATTAACAATAAAAGTCAATAAAGATCATCAAAGAAAAAACTAAGTAAAATAATAAAAGACTCAATATTACCAAGTTAACAATCTGACTGTAAACATGTTATTTTTCTAATCAGTTAATGGTTCTAATGTTTTCTTGGATTGCCTCAAAGGTTTGTCTGTCTGTCTGTGAATTCTTGGAAATGTTTTTCCATCTGTTTAAGGTACTTTTGGAAAGGTTTTTATTGTCTGGTCATTGTATTCTTGGAGAGGTTTCTCTGTCCGTTCACTATACACTTGGATAGGGTTTACTGTCTGTTTATGCTATTGTTGGATACATTTTTCTGTCTATTCATGGTATCTGTGGATAGGTTTTTGATCTGTTTATAGTATTATTGAACAGTTTTTGTGTGTGTCTGTTTATGGTATACTTGGACATATTTTTCTGTCCGTTCATGGTATTTTTGGACAGGTTTTTCTGTCTGTTCTTGGTATTATTTATCTCTTAGATTTTTCTGTCTGTTCTTGGATTTCACTGCCTCATAGTTCTGTCTGTTCATGGTCTTCATTGTTTCAGTTTTTTCTGTCTGTTCATGGACTTCACTGTCTCAAAGACTTTTTTTTATCAGTTCATGGTGTTGACTGCTTCATAGATTTTTCTGTTAGGTCATGGTGTTGACTGCCTCATAGATTTTTCTGTTAGGTCATGGTGTTGACTGCCTCATAGATTTTTCTGTTAGGTCATGGTGTTGACTGCTTCATAGATTCGTCTGTACATGGAGTTCACTGCCTCACAGATTGTTCTGTCTGCTCATGGTATTCACTGCCTCACAGATTGTTCTGTCTGTACATGGAGTTCACTGCCTCACAGATGTTTCTGTCTGCTCATGGTATTCACTGCCTCACAGATTGTTCTGTCTGTACATGGTGTTCACTGCCTCACAGATTCTTCTGTCTGTACATGGAGTTCACTGCCTCATAGATTGTTCTGTCTGTTTATGGTGTTCACTGCCTCACAGATTGTTCTGTCTGTTCATGGAGTTCACTGCCTCACAGATTGTTGTCTTTACATGGTGTTCACTGCCTCACAGATTCTTCTGTTTGTACATGGTGTTCACTGCCTCATAAATTGTTCTGTCTGTTTATGGTGTTCACTGCCTCACAGATTCTTCTGTTTGTACATGGTGTTCACTGCCTCATAGATTGTTCTGTCTGTTCATGGTTTTCACTGCCTCATAAATTCTTCTTCTTCTTCTTCACGTTCACCAGCTGTACACTCTGGCGGAAAGTTCTGGTTGATCGTCCACTACTGAACTGCAGTCCTGCTCCAGAAGCTGAGTGTTGCTGGTGCATCAGTATTACAGATCTCATTCTCTTGAATACAGACTGTTGTTTCCTTGCCTGTCTGGCAGATGCACCCAATTAGTCGACTCTTACGACATGCTTTTGGGGAGGCAGTGGGTCTATTCTTGTTTTCCCCACAATGGGGCCCCGGAACCCACACGGGGGAACCTCATAAATTGTTTTGTGCATTCATGGTATTCACTGCCTCACAGAATGTTCTGTCTGTTTATGGTGTTCACTGCCTCAGAGATTCTTCTGTCTGTACATGGTGTTCACTGCCTCATAGATTGTTCTGTCTGTACATGGTTTTCACTGCCTCATAGATTGTTTTGTGCGTTCATGGTGTTCACTGCCTCACAGATTGTTCTGTCCTGTTTATGGTGTTCACTGCCTTACAGATTGTTCTTTCTGTACATAGTGTTCACTGCCTCACAGACTGTTCTGTCCGTTCATGGTGTTCACTGCCTCAGAGTGTTCTGTCTGTTTATGGTGTTCACTGACTCAAGATTTGTGTGACTGTATATGGTATTGTTTAGCTTTTTCCCAGAAAGCCCACTTCTGCTGCCATCAGATGTTTTCTAGGTTTCTCTGTTTCGTTTACTGTTCAAGTGCCACACCCATAGGCCAGTTGTGCCATGCCGCACTTCTTTTAACTTTTGTGCATCTTTGTGGTGAAGTGGCCAAGCCCTAGCCTCATCCCCTGAAGGTTGTAGGTTCATTTCACGGACATGTTTATTATTTCATGAGTGCAATGTTATGGAGAACTATGGAGATTACCACTAGAAATAAGAAACACTGCACTGTGCAATGCTCTTGGCAGGTGGTTAGCCGATCTATGATAAGAGACTGAGTGCAAAGAAATAACATTCTGCCCACAAATAATAAACCAGAATACAAAAGGATGCACATGCAAAATCTCAATTTCTGGATCAAGACAAAAGTTCAGAAGTGGTTGAACAAACCTTCCAACACATTCTACAGCTAGTGAACGCTAAGAAATAGAATACTGACCAGAAGTAGGAATGGTGTCTTTTTTAAAAAATCACCTTCACAAGAATGCAGACGCCAAGCACTATCAATCACAGGACACTGTTGTATATAATACAAAAATGAGAACACAAAGTAGAGTAAAGATGAGAACACCTACAACAAAGTCCAGAAATCAGTATTACCTCGTGTGAGTTGTAGACGCATGATTCCTGGGATGCAAAGTTCTTAGCAGCCTGGGCAAGTAGCTGGAATATCGTACATGGAAAGTATACATGATGTACAATGAATACTTCAAAACTTGATATGACAATCCTATGTGACTCTCATTTTTGACTACGAAAAAACCCACAGCAAATGAAAAGTACATAAATTTGTCATATTCTAACATTCAAAATATGTGCAATTTATTTAATAAATGAAATAATAGAAATTGTGAATAAGAATACATAAGAGATCAACCAATCCAACTGACGGTTTTTTTGCAACTGGGTGACGGCTAGTTTTAAGGTTTATAGGCTGTCATGTCAACTAATCAAAATGTGCCATCAGACAAGTTTGCATTTCTGGGTAGGCAGTTATTTTGAGCGCATGTCACATGTGGCTACTCTTTTTTTAGGAGTAAATGGGTGTTTAAAGTTTCCTTTATTTTGGGGGTAAAAAGGAGCTCAAAGTATCCTTTTTTTTAATTTATTTTATAAGTTTTCATTGGCATGGAAATTGTAAAATATGGTTTCTAAGAAGTCTGGTCAGAAACAAACAAGTTACAGCAAATCAAGTTTTTAGACTACTCTGTGAAATTGCTAAAATGTATTTAGTATTGATTTTTCTTCATGTTCATATTATAAAATTATTGTTAACTAACTCAAACTGCCATAACAAAATTAATAATATTAACCGGTGAACAGACGAATGAGCAGGTACCGCTGGACTGACTTTTTTAAAATACCTATCTAACAAGGCTAGTTGCATTTCATTAATCAAAACGTAACTAAAAATGTGACCTAAGCCCAATTCTACTCTTTAAACAAAAAAAAAAAACAAAAAAAAAAATAGGTTATGTTATATATAAATAATTACTATATTATTATTAATAGGCTATCCTCAGAATAACAGGCACTAAAGATGGCGCCGCTACGTGCTGCACGGATGGGGCTAAACTAGATGGCTGGGACCCACGAGCAGCAGCTACCGCATCTCCTGCATCGTCCTCATTTTATTTGCTTGTGTGGGAGGCTCTTGCTGCGTTACCAATCCGGTACGAGCTACGCCTTGTTGCGATCGTACTTAGCCGAGTTTCAATGGCGTAACAGCCACAAACAGCAGATTTTCAGTCACTATTTACAATTTCTGTGCCATAATTTCCAGATATAAAGCCAAATTATCGGTAAGTAGTTGATTTGATGTAACATTTTTTTCGTTCCTTATTAGTTTTGACTTCAATTTTTAAATGTTTACAACACACGACACGTGACTGAGGCTCGTCAGGATATTTTTCGACCGCCATCTTTAGTGCCCGTTATTGTTATTCGGAGGATAGCCTATTAATATTATATGTTTGTTGTGATTTTGTTAGTAAGTTTTAAGTTTGTATTGATTGTATTGTATCTTATCGTAGCATTCGTTGACAGGACACAACTAGCGCCCATAAAATGTTCACCTCGTTAGATTTGGAACCTCTGACGAACTGTCGCACTAATGAACCTAGATCGTTGACATTAGCTGTGATTTTCTCATTGAGCCTGGCTTTAGTTTCTTGATTCCAGTTCATGGAACTGCGAGACGACGCCATTGTTGTTGTTGTCAATAAATATGTCCGACTTCCGTCCACGGGCCGAATCTGTTCTCTAATACAGAAGAGTAAACGCTGCATAGGCAACAATTAGGTAGTCTTAGTTTCAGCTTCATAGCAAACGAGTCACCTCCTGTGCCAACGAAAAACACACAGAATGTTTATCACAGTTCCTTGTGGAAAGATTGACAGACAGCATATCTAGCATACACACGCATTAAAGCATACGGTAGCCATCCGAAGTGCTAACACAAACAGTCCGTCCTTAGAAATGCAGTTCTTCACTGATGGTAGCAGAAGTCCCCAACAGCTCAGCAATTGCACACGCGATCAATTTTAATCACATACGGGCACCACCAACATTGCGACGACAGCCATCGCGCCATTTTCTGAATCTACAATTCACACCACCACGTTGGTCACAGTCGAAAAAACCATTCCAAATGAAATCCACAGCTCACAGTGTAACCCATGCATGTAACTCAGAAGCTGGGCCACGAAACTATATCCATCTACAAATGGAGCAAAAATGCAACGGCCAACGTCCGGCAGATTAAAAAAAATGTGCCTCGGCTCCAAACAGTGCCCCTGCCTAGCGTCCATTGTAAAGGCAACAATTAATCATCATCATGTAGCACGTCCTTTGTCTGAAAGAAACTCGGTCTCTTGCTAGCTCTCCCGCCTCATGCACTTTCATCCTCAAGAAGTCACTTATATTCTGTGCCCATCTTCGTGTCGGTCGGCCCCTGCCCCTGCTTCCTGGTACCACGACTTCTGCTATAATTCTTTCTTATCCGTCATGGCGCTTGATATGACCAAAATATTTCAGCTTCCGGGGTAGCAATTATAATAATATTAATAATAATTACTGTGCTGTCTCCACAATGGAATACGACTGTAGTGCAGTGCAGTCTCTAGGAATATCACGTACTGAGGCCCAAATCGTCTATAGAGTGCAAATCTCTTACCATTGCCTGAGTGCGCGCCCCCCCCCCCTCCCTTCCACTAAATCATAAACTGGCTGCAGAGGAAATTGTGAAATTGTGCCCTGGGTTCTTTTCTGTTATTTCACCAGATCACGCCGGCTTCGAGATTTGGTAGGGAAATCCCCAGACCGTCCCACAGTATAGGGGAGTTAGGACTAGTGTTAAATGAATAACGACTAAAATGAGGCCTAACCCTAACCCCCCTATACTGTGGGACGGTCTAGGGATTTCCCTACCAAATCTCGAAGCCGGCGTGATCTGATGAAATAACGGAAAAGAAATTAGTTCTAGTACGTGCTTCTGCCTTATGACACTGAACTCAAGAATGCGAGTGGAGTTTTATGTATTGGTTTTTACTTGCGACACTATCATAGCTCATCATCATCATCAGGTGCCTTGCCGACTGGCGTGGGCGATCATGCCTCTCCATAATCTGCGATCTACTGCAGCATGTATCAGTTCGTGTGCCGACACACCTCCATGCCATGCAACAAGACTGTCAAGCATCTTCTCTCGTTGTCTTCCTCTATCTCTCCTTCCACATATCTTTCCAGTGATCACAACATGTTCTATTTTCCTTCTTCTCATAACAAGGCCGAAAAATGATGACTGTCTCCTTCTGATGTCTGTGATAAGTTGTCTTCGGGCTCCCACCTCTTTCAAAACCTCTTGGTTGCTATCATAGCTAGATAGAGCTTCAAATGTCTAATCCAACGATACCTCAGTGAAGCCGATAGGTAAAATATAGGCGGAGATACTAATATTTATGTGGCTGGTATTAATATTTTAACTAATTAGTTGTCTATCCTTTACAGGACGTTGCAGAACCAACCCCATCACGTTCTGGCTGATGTGGTTTTTCTAGGCAAATTTACGTCCAGTAGTTTGCCATTGCTTACTGGAGGGTCAGCTCTCGGTACACGGTCAAAACCATCGCAAGACAAACCCGGCACCCCGACATTACGAAACATGTTCACAACGCCACAGACGCCGGCGGTACTAATAAAGATACATTATAATCAATCTGACAAAAGATGGATCACTGGCTACGTCCGAGTAAAACGAAGGGTTAAAATGACTAAATGTTTGCATTTTTGACAATAACTATGTTGTATGTTAAAGAATCCCTTAGCAACTATAGACAACTGCAGTCGTGAGTAAGCACTTATTTGAGGTAATGATTATAAGAGGTTTAAAGTAATAAATATTCATTTAATTACAGTTGCCGAGAAAATATCCCAGATTTTTTGGGGAGCGATGGGGGGGGGGGGGGGGGGGAGTTTGTTTGTGGGGGGTGATTTCCCCCCCCCCCCCTCCCGCCCTATACAACATTGTTGAAACGCCGCCACCGAAGAAAAAGGAAAAACAAACCGATGCCCAGCGGCTTAACCGCCCGATGCAGATCACCTGGAGGCTCGGGTCACTTGATGTGGGGTCAAGGGTCAGATAAGGCTCGGAGGTTGTTATGTTATATGCACGGCCAGCTCCAGACATATGCAGCCGGACGTGGTTATATGTACGTAGAAAGTATACATGTTGAGTGGTAATTTTGTTAAAACGGATTATAAGGCCTGGTGTCAGTTGGGACTCGGGGCAGATTTGTGGTCAGAGCATCGTCAAATACCATGCCCACGGGTGGAGGCAATCATGTCTCTCCATGGTGTGGTATGGTGTCGCTTGTTAGCCGATGAGCTGTGATTATGGTAGTATACAACTAGGTAGCGATAGGCGGTCAACTTCGAGCATGCCGAATGTGGTACGGGTCACAAGGATCTCCTGAGCATATAGTGCTGTGACTTGATTTAGAGTTGCAGAACCAACCCCCTCATTTTTGGCTGTTGGGGTTTTTATAGACAGATTTTACGTTTAGTAGTTTGCCATTGATTTCTAAGCGGCTAGCTCTCGTTACCAATATCGAAACCAACGCAAGATAAACCATCCATAGCGAGGAGCAGACCTGGCACCCCGGCATTACGAAGCGCGTTCGCAACACTTAAGCCATAGAAGCCGACTTAGATAGAGTAAAACTGAATAAGAATTATAACAAAATGGCGGGTGTCATGTCACAGTGTCAGGTGCCGGTAGCACAGTTAGGGTTTGAGTTGTCGTGTCAGCTAGTTTCGTGAGAAATTGCTGGTGTAATCTTGGACCCTGTGTATATGTTGCTGTGACTTTATATAGAGTAAAAATAATGACAACTTATGTCAAAAGAGAGTTTGTCCTGTCGCGATGTTATGTGCCGATGGATCAGTGAGGGGTCGGGTTGTCATTTCAGCCACTTATAATAGAGGTTTTATCGGTCAATGAGGGGTCACTGCAAATGATGCTACGACTTATATGGAGGAAAACAGTGAACTATTCTCGTAAATGAGATGGCCTGTGTGTCTAGGTGTCAAGTGCTAGTGGCTCAATAAGAGGTTAGGTTATCACGTCAGCTAGTTAAATGAGTTGTTTTAGCTGTCACCGAGGGTTGGTCCCCGGTTTCCGTCAGTGGTTCACAGAAGTTTCTTAATAAGGCAAACACTATCCTTGGGACACTTTGAAGCCGGCTCCGTCTTTAGTAAGACGTCCTCTGTCTTGACAGACATTACATCGCTCCATGTCTTTCTCATCTGGGACACCTTAAATCACTTAAGTCACTTCTCAAGTTGCTCACTAAGATTGGCAAGTGGTTTACTGAAGTTCTTGAGTCGTTCGATGTCTTTCTCCTTTGGGGCATCTTGTCGCTCAATTTACGTAGTAAAACTTTCACTTGCTTTGCTGAGTAACTCTTCACCGATGTTTCTTGGTAAGGCGTTTACTGTCTTTAGGACATCTTAAGTCACCCGATGTCTTTCCCCATTGGGACACAACCAAAAGTCTTGACTTACTGACTGACTTCCTTCCACACCAGGACATCAAACAAGCGATAAACACCCGATGACACAATGTGCCACCATGCGGGGGAGAATCACCGTGAAGAGGTCCCAGACACGGCGTTTAGCCATTAGGCCATATTTATGGCCAGGCTATATTGCGGCCCCTGGCAAGAGCCAGAGTAGGGCTTCAAATAACGAAAAATTGCACCCTAATAAGGACGAGAAGTTTTAACACCCTAAGTCTTTATCATTTGTTATACATTAAGTCACTCCTTCACTGACGTTTTCTGGTGTCATTAATCAGCATTGGTACCATTCAAGTGACTAGATGTCTTTTGTTGCTGTGGATTTCAAGCTGTACGATAGACATGGTCAGTGAAGTTATATTTGTGGGGGTGTCTAGTTCGTCATTTTCTTAGTACATTTGTTTCCATAGAAAAGCGCACTCGCCATTTAGAGGTTATAAGTTCGTTTGATGGCACGGTTTTTGATTTTTGTGTTGTCTAGTGTTCTTCTATCTTGTTACTTCTTTCTATGAGTGTCGATGAATACAATCCCTGTTTGTTTATATATGTACTTAAAAAAAAGGGTGCTGTCGAAACATCGGTTGTTTCTATTTGTCTGTTTCTTTTGGAGATATTGGGTTTAACTTTTTCCCCTTCCCTTCCCATCACCCCAATTGGAATCCCCAACACATATGGAGAATTTAAGTTAAAACCGGCTACTATGTATTTCAAATAACCCTAATGGCTTCCATGACTACAATGTATAAAGTTACATAATGACAAGTAAAAGAAAGTAAAAGCGGTCGGCATGGTATTCACCTCATCATTCACACAGTCTCAATATTCTTAAACTGTCTATATATTCTCGAAGACAGGAGGGCTTAGCCAGCGTACTGTGAAGGCTCTGTTTTGTACAGACGATTTCGTGAAGCCCAAGAAAGAATATAGGTGTACTCATAGACATACGCATTTGCCAGACTATCTTTATTTGCCTCTTAATCAGCCCCTCCCCCCCTTTTCCAAAGAATTGTGCTTGTGCCTTCCCCTCGAGATGTTTTGGAAAAGTAAGATGTCTAGTTCTTGTAACCAATGATAATATTACTGCCTGTCTGGCTTTGTTGAGGTTATACTTATCTGGAATTGTTTTGACA